AAACATAAAAAATTGAAATTTGATAAATAAATAAAACGTAACATAATTTATATTACATTTTCACTTATTTTTAAAATAACATTATCTGTAATACAATTATATATGTGTGTGTGTGTGTATGTGTGTGTGTATTAATTCATGAAAATATTATTTGTAATTTTGTTAGTAGAGATTAGATTATAAAGAATAGTTGCTAATCGCATTTATTACTCCAAAATAAAGAAAAGATTGTCCAAAAGTTTGATTTAATTTGTTGAGGTAACAAATATATATTTTTTGTTTAAAAATAAATGTCCATGATAGATGGCACACAATCTTAAGAATGTACAATTATTACGTTTTTTATATAATTAAATGAAATTTTTTATCCTTAATAATAGATTGTTTAAGTAATGTATTTTTATATCTAAAAGTAATTAATTAACAATAAAATAAAAAAACGTATAATACAAATGATATGTTATATCTGATAAACTAATTGATGAGTTAATTGTTTACTGATAATCATGTTTAACAAAAACTAAGTAATAAGTTAATGGGCAAAATGCATAAAATAACAATCTACTTTCATAATTTTTTTATTATAGCATTGTACTTTTAGTTTTTCTTATTACAACAATGTACTTTCAAACTATTTTTTATTAGTACATTGTACTTTGAAAATTTTACCCATTATAGCATTGGGTAATCTTTTGATTTAAATTTACCCATTATACTAGGTTTCTATGCCACCTCATTGTCCACGTAGGCTGTCCACATGTACTATAGTGATGTGACTTTCTTACTACATTATTGTACTTTCAAAATTATTTTATTATAACATCTATTAGTTCTTATTAAACACTGTATTTTTAATTTTAATATTTAGATATTTTACATTTTATTTAATAAATGTATTAAATGAATTAAAAAATTATAAATTATTCATTAATATACCAATATCAATAAAACTAGTAGAACACAACTTATCTCGCTAATATTTTTTTAAAAAAATATGTGTTTTAAAAAAAGGAAAATTAGAATTGTTCCTTTTTAACCAAAAAATATAATCTTTTAAAAAATATATTATATTTGTTCAAAAACTTTTTACTTGACGTATAAATATATTAAATTAATTAGATTTTTTTTGAATTATTTATTAATATAACAATATAAAAAAATTGTAGATAATAATTTATTTCGTTAATATTTCAAAAAGAACTTTAAAAGATATGTATTTATTTGAACAACATAAAATAAGAAAAGTTACATTTTTACAAACAAAATATATCTCGAAAATAATGTTTCATATTTATTTAATAAATATTTTACTTTAAGAATATTTAATTTGAATGCAAGTTAGTAAGAAAAAATAAAAAAAATTAAATGTTTTTGTAGATAGTAGCAATGAAAAATGAAAATCACTAATAATAATTTGAAATAGGTTTTTATTTTAATTTTACTTAAATCATCAAAATGATGTATCATCCACATCACCTCATTAAAGCCACACAAGCAAAAAAGTCAAAGGATTAACCGGTTTAAAAGGTAACATGTTACCCATTGCTATTATGGATAGATTTTATAAAGTACAATGCCTTAATAAAAAATAATTTGAAAGTACATTGTTGTAATAAAGAAAAACAAAAGTAGAATGCTATAATAAGAAATTTTATGAAAGTAAGTTGTTATTTCATGCATTTAACCATAAGTTAATTGAATAAAATAAAATGATCAAAAATAATATATTAAAATTAATATGTCATAACTTTATATAATACAATTAAAATAAATTGTCAATACATATTAACATA